TAAATGCAAACCTTTCTAAATGCATATTTTAGGCTAGTCTGTACATATTGCATTTATGAAGGTTTGACTATAGCTAATTACAAGAGGTTCAGTTTGTGGGATCCATCAGCATTAGTGCATAAAGCTATAGAGAGGCACTCTTTATTTTTTTTACATCCTGCAAAGCATTGTGTTGCTAACGTCTTATCTGGCTCCAACCTAATACAATAAATTAGGTATTAAATAAAAAAAAGTATGTATACTACATAAGTATCACAAAATGAAAAAGACAGAGAAATCTTAAAAGATTTCTCTATTTTTTTTATTTTATGATACTCAAATCATAATAATCTAAAATTTACCAGTAAAAGAGACCCATCTCATCCATATTATAAATTTGGTTAAGAGAATACCGAGCACACAGGTCATTCAATAATAGCAAGGATCGGGCAATTACATTCAAGTCGACAGAATCTGCTTCTCCATAAAGCTTTCGTTGACAGACTCCATTCCTTTCTTTGAATTTTTGAAGCCACCTGGAAGAGAACTGCAACTTATCCTTAGGGACTCCAAGTTCATTTGCTAGCATTTTAGCTTTCTCGATTAACAAAGCATCACTTAAGATGGTCTGATGCTAATATATTAAAATAAATTCTTTTAGGGCGAGCTCAAGCTCTAGTACCACAACAGGTTTATATCGTTTGGCATTAGGTTTAAAACTTCATCAGCGTGTCATTTTTCCTTGGCTTGAAGAATCCGAGTAATTGTAGATTCATTAACTTTGACCCTCTATTTATTTTCAATCCATTTAATATATTCAGGCCTGGTCCCTTTATTGTCTCTAGCATAAACACAAAACTCATATTTTTGTGAGTTTGTTAAAGTAACCTTTTTTTTGATCATTATTAACATTGTATTGAAGACTTTGTCTAAATAAAGAAAATGGTATTAGTATTCGTATTTAATTAAAGTTGATTACTTGATTACAAGTTACATCACTACTACTAGAGTGATAGTAAAAATATACAAGGCAGTATTTTGTAAATACCCTAGGAGCGTTATCTCTAATGCTTACCTTATCAATTTTTTAGATGAAAAAAAAAAAAAAAAATCCTTCATGTATTTAAGCAGCCACCAAAATGAACACTTCGTAATGTCAACAATTTGCTTAATCAATGACAATGCATGCACACAAGAGAAGAATGTACAGACTGCGTAATAATAAATATGGGTTAGTTAATATTAAATGCACTAATTATTACATTGTCATATCACTTACTTTACTTCTTTTGCCTTTCTCACCACAACACCTAATTTTTCTACTATAATGACTTCTACCTTACTCAAGGCAACTCGACGTTAATTCTTAGATACTGGTGTTCAAGAACAGTTAGAAGTGGAAGTTCGATCTTA